CATAATAGAGTCTTAATCTTTAATGCCTCTTAAGGATTTCATTTTGGTGCTATTTTAAAAAAATTAAAATTGGCAAATTAGTGTAATGTGAGCATTAAGAGAAAGATAAAAAAATTTACCTCTTAATAAAAATGGGAAGAACTTCTATTCAAGTACCTTTTCTTTAGGGCAATACTGTCTCTCTTAGAAGTATTTTATATGACTTATTTTATTGCCCTGAAAATCTAATACTCACAACAGTTAAAATATTCATTTTTATAGAGGAGGTTATAGAGAGGCAGTTAGGGAAGAGGGGTTACCTAAAGGAAAACAATGATTTGAAATTGGTAAAACCTGTCTGGGTCCCTCTAGCAAACAATAGCTCTTTCTTAGGTTGCTGTTAAAAAAAAAAGAAAAAACTAAATAGGTGACAGTGATCACATCTCTAGATGCAAAGGATCTTTAGGTTATACAAGAATAGCATTAATCAGTGTTACTTTCGTCTTTCATGTATTTTTTTCTTTCTTTTCTTTCTTTTTTTTTTTTTTTTGTAGTGGTAAGAGGTTTTATTTTCTTCTCATCCCAGGAATAGATTTGCATAATGCTAAATTGCTGTGAGCTGAAATCATGCCACTGCACTCCAGCCAGGGTGACAGAGCAAGACTCCATCTCAAAAAAAAAAAAAAAGAAGAAAAAAAAAACCCTACTGCTTTTTATTGTTATGTAAATCCTTATTGCATTTGGTCTATTCTGCATATTGGGGTGGATTAGAGATTGGTCATTTTCTGCAAAGGAGAACATGAAACACCTTGGCCACAAAAAGCTGTACAAAAAAGTTTCGATTAGAATTGGAAAGAGTATTTTATTTTTCTCATTTTTGTTTTCAAATAATTACGCATATTGTGTCACAGTTGATTAGCCAGAAAATGCAAAGTAATGTAACTGTGTGCAGTATGTCATCCAGGTCTAACAGCCTCATAATCTTTTTGTTGATTGAATGGGAGAAAGGAAGAGTGGGTGAAAGTCTACAAAAGCTTGTATTAATTAAGATGTATCTCCTACTGGTAGAAAATCATGTTCAGACATTATCACATCGTTAGTCAGCTCATCACAGTACCACTTTGCAGAAAAGTTTTTTTTTTTTTTTTTCCCCCAGTGGCTTTAATGAATTTCTTCTAAGAAGTCCTGTGAAACGCCTGAGCTGTAGTATTTGGATAACTGTGCCATTTTCTTAAACAATTTGAGCCTGCTAAGAAAGTAGATCTTCTGGTTTGACATTTTTTTTTTTTTTTAACTTAACAAATAAAGCATCAAATTATTTTGGCCTTTTCCTCAGAATCAAATAGATAATAGGATGCTAATTAAATAATCGATAGGCAAAAATCTGTGAGACTAAAGGACTAAATAATTATAAATAATTTTTCCATTTACTTGAACTTTGCTAAGGATAGATTGTTATCATTTATCTATTTTTATAAAGAAATAAGTGAATAATCAATATGCCTTTATGAGATAAAATTAATCGTTCCCTTTTAATAATTTATTAATATGATAAAAATTAAATTTTTTAAAGACATGTTTTTAAAGTACTGCATATATTTTCTGTGTATGTATATATGAACCCTTTCTTTTCTTTTCTTTTCTTTTCTTTTCTTTTTCTTTTTGAGATTAAGTTACATTCACCTTGCCCAGGCTGGAGTGCAATGGCATGACCTCAACTCACTGCAACCTCTACCTCCCAGGTTCAAGTGATTCTCCTGCCTCAGCCTCCTGAGTAGCTGGGATTGCAGGCACCCACCACTACGCCCGGCTAACTTTTTGTATTTTTAGTAGAGACAGAGTTTCATCATGTTGGTCAGGCTGGTCTCAAACTCTTGACCTCAGGTGATCCACCTGCCTCAGCCTCCCAAAGTGCTGGGATTATAGGCGTGAGCCACCATGCCCTTTCTATGAACTCTTTTTGACAACCATGATAGCTATTCAAGATATGTTTGCTTGATATTCTTTGTATTTATGATAATCTGAATAAAGGATGTTCCAAATATAGGAACATTCGTTATAGATTTCCTTATAGCTTTATAAGTGACGTCTTTTATGCTGCTTTTGCTCTGTGTGTGTATGCATGCACACATGTGCATCTGTGTATGTGTTTTTAGTCCTGTCAATATGTCATCTGCAGAGATTCTTTTCTCCAGAATTATAGTCATATGTCCATTACGGTTATGTAAAAAGAGAAAAACTTATTGTTGTGAAAAGGATGTCTTATATTATAGTTGTGTGCACTAAGAATTCTGATTTTTGTTTCCTTTTAACAAGTTTGGGAGAAATTCATTAAACTTTAATTTATACCATTGGTTTTCAAGGAATATCATAACACATATAGCTGTTTGATTTAACAGTTCTTTACTTGATATGTAAAGTTCTTGTTTGCTGTTGGGTTTGGGCTTGATTTTTCAAGACCCATTTTAGGAAAAGTCTCAGTGGGAAAAAAATTGAAAAGATAAAGCATTACACATTACTCATTTAATGAGTACCCCATAAATTGGCAAGTAGACTGAAAACCAAGAGTTATTATCATCAGAAAGTTTACTAGTCATTTGATTGAAAGAAATGTTAATTTTAAAAATTAAAAATAGTAAGATCAGCCCAAAATACCAGCCAATAATATAATTTAATATTTAAAAATATGAACTAATATTAAAGAGTATAATTGGAGAAAAACACATAGTTTTTTTTGGGATTTCTAGACTTCAGAGTATAAGCACATCTGTGTTTGGATCTCATTCGTTCCTTTTCACCTATATTGTAAGAAATGTCAGAATTTTGAGAGGGGGAAAAAACAGTAGAAGCCAGTTATGTATCTCTGATTCAGTATGTTTTAATAAATATGAAGATAAAATATGCATTCTGCTTCTCAGTAAGCAAAGGCCACTTTGTGTCTGCCGTATTCCAAATAATTTAACATCTAACTATCTGTAAACTAGGAAATGGCAATGGTCATCAGGTGTATATTTTCATTATTTTGTGGAAAGGCTCACCTTCAGTTAGTGATGGATTTACTGCAGCAGGGGAGTGTTAGCTTTGCATACTATCTCAGCCTGATTGTGCGACTGTGTCAAGATGGGAGTATGGATCCATTTGCTGTTCATGGTTGATGTATGACCATTTGGTCTCCTCTGGGAGTTATTATGATTAACCTTAACAAACACTTTTCTCTGTCCAGTAAAAATAGATGTTGGAAATATGTCTTCAACAAGTATTTATCCAGCACCTTAATTATGTGTCAGATAATGTTCTGTACCTTGGTGGCACAATACTTATCTACTAGAAGAAAGAGGGATAGAGAGATAAATACATATACCAATAAAACATAGTGTGATAAATTCTGTGAAAGTGGAATCACAAGGTGTACGGGGAGTACACAGTCGGTCAAGCCTATTCCAAATAGGGCAGGAGGAGAGAACAAAAAAGTAATGGAGGGATCAAGGAAGCCTTTCCATAGATATAACTCTAGAGGTAATGCACATCTATTCCTGAAAATGTGCATACTCTATGCCATGCAGATAGCTATGCAGCGTAAGTATTTCCAAGGTAACATCTAGGATTTTTTCCTTTGTCCTTCTTTGTTTTTTTCCTTTTCTTTCTCCCTTCCTCTTCCCCCCTCCCTCCTATTTTCTCTCTTTTCTTCATTATGAATTCATATGCACCGAAGTTTACTAAATCAATTCTTAGCTCAGGATATGCAGTAATTATTGGTCTTTTCCTGGCTGTCATTCCTTCATTCATTTATTCATTTATGATATGACAATTACTACATATGAAACACTAACAGTTACTTAGGTTTACCCTTTTGCTTCTCTCCTATTTCATTCCTCTACCTTTTCTAAAAGATAATCATTATTCTGAATTGTGCATGTCCTTCTTTTTTAATTGGTTTGTTTTATTTCATATATATCATACTTAAATAATACATTGCTTAGTTTTTTTTTAACTCAATAAAAATTCTATTCTGTTATATGTAATCTGCTGGGATTTTATTTCACTCAACATTATATTAATATGATTCATTATGTTTTTATTTGTAACTGAAATCTTTCAGTTTCACTTCAGTTAATACTTCATTTTGTGAATAAGCACAAACGTCCATTCTACCATGTCAGTGAGCAACTGAGTTGCTTCCATTTATGTTGTTCTATGAGCGGTGCTACTGTGAACATTCTCATACTTGCTAAGACACATGTGAAAGTTTCTGCAGGGTGTATCCCTGAAAGTGGAAATATTGGACCACAGACTATACAAAAGTAAAACTTAAATGATAATGCCAAATTGTCTTCAAAAGCTATTGTACCAATTTGGACTCCCACCAGCAGCATATAAGAGCTTAGGTTGATCAACATCCTCTCCAACACTTGGTTTTGGGAGACTAATTTCTGTCAATTGAATGCTACATGACATAAATGCTAGTTAATGGTGTCTGGTTTTGATTCACATGGCACAGGTTACTAATGAGACTATGCATCTCTTAATATGTTGATTGGTCATGTATGTTTTCCCCAACCTTTCAATGATAAGATTTGATCATAAAGATATATGTTGCCATTAAGGAAAAAAATATATTTTTTTATATTTATATATGAGAAATATATATGTGTGTAATGTATATATTATATATATTTATAGGATAAATGTAACTATTTCAAATATTAATCCAGGCTTAATTTTATATATTTAAAATAAATATATGAATATGTGTTATCTATATATCTATACCTATTTATCCTTAATGGCTACATATATATTTATGATTAAAATATAATCTATCCATATATAGATATATACACACACACACATACACTATATATATATTAGTAATACATAAAATGGTGGGTAAATTTCTAATAAAGGATGGATATACAGTCAAAATGGCTAACAAAATAAACCAATAGGAAATACTTCCATTTTGAAATTATTTTCATGACTTTTATCTTTTCACAGCTTGATGTTTATTTTTCTTTTGACAGAGCGATTTCGAGATTTACTACTGCCTCCATCTAGTCAAGACTCCGAAATTCTGCCCTTCATTCAATCTAGAAGTTATCCCAAGTAAGCAAAAGGGGTTCACTGGGTTTTGATAAGGCAGTGGGTATAGTGCTGGGAGAGATTTGGGAAGGCAAAAACAAAATGTAATCTTTCTTAAGGTTTCTGAAAATCCTGAATAACTTACCCTAACTAACTAAGACATCTTCTGCAGTATAATGTCTCAGGCTCCTTGAAGCTGGGTCATAGAAGAAAGACTTACTTTTAATTGCAACCCAACTTTGACTGAGGAGCTGCTGCACGGTGCAATCAACAGGCTGTGTGCATCTATGTCTGATTCTTTTTGCTTGATGCTGTATCAACAGGGACAGCATTTCGTCGGTGATACTTCATCTGGTTTACTATTTACTGTCCTTTAAATGCAAGGATTCATTTATATTGTAGCAAGTCATTTTCAAAATAACCACAGGCTAGATACGGTTTTTAACAATCTCTATATATTCTTATTTATCATATTGAAAACTGGGGAAGTGAAATCTTCTGATGCTTTGTTATATGAAGCAGACCTTTCCTTCTCATAGATGCCCCAAGCATACGTACTTGTTGAAGGAATATGCCTTCATCTTCCTGAAGGTTAAGGGAATACCAGGCCTCTTATGACACATTTCCTTCCCTAAAGACTGATACATGCTGAATCTTGATCATTCCTGTGGCATCTTGGGGCCTCCTCTATGAGTGTTTAGCTCTCTTTAGTAGTTAGTGTGCAAAAGGCTAAAGAATAAATAAACTAATATCTGAAATAGAAAAGAAACGCCATCAACTTAAAGGAATAGAATTTGGTTTATACATCTTTCATCTAATCACTATGCCAAATTCTTTGATTTCTTTAAGAGTTTTTTCAAGTATTCATAAACTTTGCTTTCTGGGGAAATTATTTTCCCTCGAATACTTAGCTTTGGTAATACTCACTTAATTATGATCACAAAAATAAATATAAAATCCTAATTATATTGCTTGTGTATTGTTTCAACTTTTAATCCAGGCTTAATTTTTAGCAATAAACTTGCAATCTCCTGATAACATACACAAAGACATACATGTGCCTAATCAGCCTTGAATGCATATTTTGGTCTATATGTGCATGTTGACCAGGAGCATGAATGTGCCCAAAATAATTGATGCACACCTATTTGCATTTTTACTTACAGTGGCTGTTGGCAGAGGCTGATGATGCCTGGTTTTCTGCCTCTTAGGCTTACAGTTTGCCTAATGCCTTTGCTTGCTAGGGTAGTCATAGTAGTTTCCCAGGTGGTTATCTATTTGCAGCTACAGGAATACCTCAGAAATATTGTGGGTTTGATTCTAGGCCACCGCAATAAAGTCAATACTGCAATAAAGCTGTCACACTTTCTTTTAGTTTCTCAGTGCATATAAAAGTAAATTTAACAGTATTCTATAGCCTTTTAAGTTTGCAGTAGCCTAGATATGTCTAGAAATACTATGTACATCTGTTAATTAAAATATACTTTATTGTTAAAAATGTTTACAATCATCTGTGCCTTCAGCAAGTCATAAACTTTTTGCTGGTAGGGGATCTTTCCTCGATGTTGATGGTTGCTGACTGATTAGGAAGGTGGTTGTTAAAGGTTGGGGCACCTGTGGCAATTTCTTAGAATAAAACCATGAAGTTTATTGCATCAATTGGCTCTTCCTTTTACAAAAGATTTCTCTGTAGATTGTGATGCTGTTTGATGGCATTTTACCCACAGCATAACTTCTCTAAAAATTGAACTCAATCCTCTCAAACCCTGCTGTT